CAATTTTTTGTCTTTTCTTTTCATTTTGTACGGTGACTTTTTTTTCCATCTCACTAAACTAATATTCTGTTAGTCACTTCAGGTTGAAGGTAATTTTGTTTCATAACCTTCCTTTTGACGAGACAAAGTTATAAAGCTTTTCGGATAAATCATCGGCACAGTTTTTAAGAATAAAATTGTCATTTTCAGGTGCAAAAAATGAATGCCTCTTACCTAAATCCTCTGTTAATAAGTAAGACACTGTTGATACCCTTTCTCCGGCGCTGTTATGAGCCACGCAATGGTATGTGCCAATGTCTTCCATCTTAGTTCCTGTTAACAAGAGCTGACTGCGAACGGTTTTGTTGTCTAACAAAATAACCTTCTCCTCTACCCTTGGGTTGGTTTGTAAAGCTTGTGGATCATCGTTCTTCACCCAAGAGATGGTTGGCCTGGGATGACCGGTGGCAGTGCAGTTGAAAATTAGGCTGGAATTGATAAAAGCACTTTGGTTCTTTGGATATTCAATAATTTGAATGTTCTGGGCTCTAATAAGAATCTCATTTTGACATGACGTGATGGATTGCTGATAGAGTTGTTTCTTTTCTATCTTTCGTTTTTTTTTTACTCGACCCGTCATACTCAAATATTTTTCATGATCTTTGTCCTGCTTTGTTATTTACCTTCAGGACGAATTTCGACTGATTCTCTCCTGCAGTGTGCACGATAACCATTTCCTGTTTCACACGTGTAGCTTCCAAGTTGATTCGCCGTCAGTTTTTCGATCATTAATGTGCATCTACGTTTTAATACCATGTGTCTACCCTGTACACATCTGTATCCAGTTGGCTTGTCTTGTGGATCGTACCACTGAGTATACTCGGTCCATCGATCGTAATATCCTGCATCAATACTCCTGGGCTGCGCCGTACAAGTTAGGTTAACTGCAGTACCCACAGATAGTTCGTGCCTTGGTGGATTTATAGAAATCTCTACATCAGGTATTACTGGAGGAGGGAGAAAGATAGTCTATTGACATATGTAACATAAAGAGTTTGGCAGCGGCTATTCTGAGCTTAAAAAGATAGATTGCCAGTCCGAGAAAAACCCAAAATACCTCCACTACTTACTGGTCAGTTTAGTGTTGCAATTTATGCCCGTGGCTTGAGGGAGATTCAAGAGAGCGCTCGTCACTATAAGGACCACCAGAAAAGGTTTAGAAAGATCATCTGGCCACGTATTGAATCCCATCAGTACACGTTGGCGAGTATCTGTGAGTCTTGTTCAAAAACCCCAGCAAGGAATATTGATCGCGTAATAATGAAAAAAATGTAGCATTTTTTTAAAATAGTGAAATTTCATCGTCATGAGCATAATCTCTTTTTTTAACACAAGTGGCTGAGAAAAATTGCTGACGCCCGAGGAACGTAATAACGGTCAAATCGTTGAAATTTTTTCAAAAACAAGGAAAGAACGAAAGAAAACCAAAAAAACAACGACAAAAAAAAAAACAAAACAAAAACAAAAACAAAACAAAAACAAAAACAAAAACAAAAAAAAAAACACAGAATCGAATAGGGTCAAACTGAGTTGACTCTAGTAACATGATTATGGTGAGCTAGGTTGATCATAGTAAATAGATTATATTCGCTCAGTTTGATATCTTTCTTTTTTAAGAATATCATGCAGTTACATTACCAATATTTTTTATATCTTTTTGCTCTATTTTTGATTTTTCGAGTTAACATTTACTGTGTGTCAATTAAGAAATAAGCTTTGGACAGCCTTTGTAGTCTGGAAACACGGACAAGTTTGGGCGCTAATTGTAGAAACAGAAGCTTATGAAATCATACACCGTGACTTTTGGTGACTTGCTTATTGTGGTAGCTAGTCTTCCAGAAAAACTCAGCAAATATCATTAAAAGAAAAACAGTAAAAAATTACAACTACAACAACAATCATTACGGTAGGGATTATTTGCTGTAAAAAGCCCTTAAGAAAAAAGCTGACTGGCTATCAAGTGAACCTCAGTAAACCCAAATGTAGTTTTGACGGGTATTGGCACCCTTGTCAGTTTGTGATTAGCTTCGACGGCGATTTTTTTCTTTCATCTTCTCCTTCTTACTCAACAGAATAAGACGTCTTAATCGTCTATCAAAATACCCATTTATGGAAAGGTATGTCACGAGGTGCCTGATAAGTGCATTAATGTTCTGAAAAACACTGACCCCAATTTTCTTTTTTCGTTGTCAAATACTTGGTAAACAACGCAAACCAGACTCAAAGATGCATGGCATGCCACCATGTTAATTCTAATGATTCCATGTTAGGTCTCATACCACAGACTTAGAAACAAAATACAAAACAGGTATGAACTGTCGAATTCTTAAAGCGAAGAAAGCCCAAAGTAAGTTTAGAGGAAAGATTTTGTTCAGCTCTGTAAAGTGGGATTTAGGGTTAGTGTGGAGAGAGATGAAAGTTATAATCAATTGCCGTGTGTGAGCCGGGCTCTTACCTTGACTGTCCTTAGAGCTCCGGGAAAGTACTGTTAAAGCTGCCTTGAATTACTGGTTTTATACTCCAACCTACAAAAAGTATCATTTTTGGAGAAGTGAGCATGGAACGCTCTGGATGATTTCGGTTGTTAGTCAAGGATTACTATGTTACAATCCGGTAATTAAACCGTCAGGCAGCTTTTTTAGGCGCCAATCCACCACGTACATCGTAACTCAACGCTCCGGCTGTCTTTTTTATCAATTCCAAATCATAGCTTTTACTTTAAAATTTTGGGCGAATTAGCCTTCATTACAATGTAGTCTGGAGAGTAAGTGACATGGTGTTATGACAGGAATAAGAGCGACAGCAGAGCAAGCTTGAAATGGCAGAAATCGCCGGAAACTACGATGGACAAACAAGATGTGCGTAAGTTCTATTGATTTTTTTTTTACATGTAGAATGTTCATATTTCGAAATATTTATCGCTGTAAATCGACCGCATTTCGCTCCCCAAGCTATTCCTTGTAACGTGTTCAAATTCTCAAAGGTTCCTTTCGTAACTTAACACTGAGTCACACAACGCGTGATGCTTTCATGAATTACTCGTTTGCTTCTACTCGAGACGCGAGCTTGGGCTGCCTGTGTTATCTGAAGCAAAAATTCAATGGTTATGTGGGACGGTCAAAAAACAACTCAAGTTCTTAGTGGGTGTATGAACATGCCGTTTTATTCTCAACGGGGCATAACCATACCTTTTATTTTATAAGAAAGAACCCACGACCCGCATAAAAACCTAACAACGAAGATCAGTAAATACACCAGCAAAAATTGTAAAAAGCTTGTGATTGCTTTTATTTCCTTCGCAAAGGTCCGCTTGTTAGAGATTTGCTTTTAACTGACCCATAAAGATACAGGTCAAATGATCATCAAAAGCGATTTTGTTGACACAGCTAGTATATTTTTCTTCTCTAAATATGTTTAGCTCTTATGGAGATAGGAAAATATTGAGGAAACTTTGGCACTCTACAGTGGAAGGGTCGCATACTTCGGGATTGTGGAAGGATTAAACAGGCTAAATCGTACCTCCTAAGAGATCCACGATGTAAATTAATTAATTTCGATTAAGCTCAAAAACTTACATGGAAAGAAATAAAATGTTTTTATGGTTTAATAAAAATAATAACCTCAAATCACATTTCCCAACTTCCAAAAATGCAACTTGTATCGAGTAGCCGAAATGTTCACACCTAATTTCTACAGGGAAAAGCGAAGCGTTGCTTTCGTGACTGGCCATTTGTTTACTTTTCTGGTAGTTTTATCCCTCATCTGTTTGGTGATTACGCAAATATTAATATGTGAAAATCAGACTGCACGAAGGCTTGAAATTCTATTAAGAACGATTGTGGCCGCTTTGTTTAAAATCAAATGCAGTGGCCACTTTGTTAAAAACAAGAGATATCAAGAAACGGGAAAGGAATATTTCATAATAGTGCAAATGATGGTGAAAGATGAGGGCTACTAATATTTTGCTGTTAGAGCAACATTTGATGCCTGATTATGCCCACCGGCCCACCCCCCGCCCCACAAACACACACACACACCCACCAACAAAAAGGACACTGTCTGCCTAATGACCTCTACTCATCCTACCTGCAGCGCACACAACGGCTTTTTTCCAATTCCCATCGCGAAGAATGCGCGTGTTTTCCTATCACACAACTGACCCCAAAATAAAAGAAATTTATTCTAAAGTCTTAAAAAATCACATAAACCGAATTCAACTGTACCTATATTCAGCAAGTCCAAGAAATCAATATAAACTTAAGCCACGATATGAATGAGCTGGCCCAAGAGCCCTTTGATTGCTTTTGCTTTGTTTTGTTTTTTTTCCCTTTCCACCGACGAATAAAAGTGTTTTTTTCTGCTTCACTAAAAGTATTTTTAGCACGATTCTTTCTTACTCGTGTCCAACCTTTCCTTTTATATTTCAAAGGGTTGAAATCGTGGCTCCATAACTCTATACTCGAGAGGCTATCTCATCAGATATTTGGCAATTTTTTATACAAGATTTAGAGGGAGTTACTAGTTTTCGAGCTAAGCTCGAGGAGACACTCGCGTAACTTGCTTGGTTCCTTCTAAATGCTTCGTAACTTACTTATTTCTTGTTGAATGCTTAGTCAAGACCCATTCCATTCCAGCTGTGGAATTGCATGAGTTGCATCTTGAAATAGACATGATTGACTGCTAATCGCTTCCGCTTCGTTTCCGTTTCCTTCAGCAGTAAGTATTGTTCATCATTTATCAAATTTCTTTGTCTGACAATTGAAACCTTTCCACGGTTTTTGCTTCTTGGCCCTTTGTGCTTACCGAGAAAGCCTTTTCTCACCGTAAAAGGGTATTTTCACCGTTGATTGACAAATAAGCTTATAGATGTCAACAAACAATGATTTTATCATCATATTATCCGACCCGAAAGTGATTGTTTGGAGAAATGTCACAAGCTTGGGACATTTGGGAATTATTGGTTCACGTGATGGCCTCGCTCACCATTGAGTCTACGTGGCTCAATGGTAGACCTTCGGAGCATGGAATCTGTAGGTGTGGGTTTCGATCCCTCTTGGGGACTCAGAGATGTTTTCTTTGTCCTAACTCCGTAACAAGACAGATAAACATTTCAGTCTGTTCTATATTAATAATGTTGTTCTGTCGAAAGAGGGAACTCTCTTAGGCGATCAAATATTCATTTGATAACCATCTAACAACCATTTTCAGAGTGACACATTGGTAATGACTGACAATTCGACAAAATAGGCGGAAGTCCTCATCAAAGTCAATTGA